GGTCTAAAGTTTATTGAGACTGAGGGTTTGATGTTTAGGGTTTCGGGTTCAAGGTTTGATGTTTAGGGTTTAGGGTTTGATGTTTAGGGTTTAGGGTTAGTTTTTAGGGTTTGATGTTTAGGGTTTAGGGTTTATGGGTGAGGGTTTAGGGTTAGGGGCTAGGGCTTGATGTTTAGGGTTTAGGGCTAGGGTTTGATGTTTGGGGCAGAGAGACCTGCATATCCCGAAGCACTAAAAAAAAGACCGCAGATCTCAACCCAGCAGAACTGGTTTCGGGCCAGGCAGCCCAGTCAAAGCCTTCGAACAAAGCGCCAGCAAGGCCTTCAAGGGTCGGCTTGGCCACCTCGGTCGCAGGGCCAGGGGCTCATGCAGAACGTGGGGCCACGAGTTATAACCTTCATTATGTCTGATTGTGATGAGAGCAACTTCTATGCAGGTTTTTCAAGTACAGGGCGATGTGTCGTAGACAGTAACTCCCTTGCTCTGTCTGCTGCCGCGCCACGATGCCGGTGGGCACGTAGATGTGGAAGTCCTTGGCGGAGCTGTCGCCTCCGGTCCCGAAGGGGTAGCCGAAGACGGAGCCCTCCGTGCCGTGCGCCCAGCCCTCGATCCAGCAGATGACGGTTCCCAGGACGATGCCGATCAAGGGAGCACCTGGGACCTTGGCCGCCAGCAAGCTCGCAGTGATCACCAGCACTGCGAGGCTCAACCACATCTTCGCCGAGTCATAGGAGTCGGGGCTCAGGGACCCGAGCTTCACCAGCGTGGCGGGATCTGCCACAGAGAAGCCCATGCCTTCGGCACTCTGGAAAGCGATGAAGGTCAGGAAGAGCCCGACGCCTGCACCGATGATCTCCTTGATGCCTTCGGGGAAGAGCCGGATCAGCAGCGTGCGCATGCCCGTGACGCTAAGCAGGGTGAAGAGGACGCCGGCCACGAAGACAGCCGCAAAGGCAGCCTGCCACGGGAGGCCCCGGCCCAAGACGATGCTGAAGGTGAAGTAGGCATTGGTGCCCATGCCCGGCGCAAGCATAAAGGGGAAGTTGGAGAGGATGCCCATCAGCCAACAGCCACAGAAGGCCGCCAGAGCCGTGGCACACACCAGCTGTTCCTTCATGTCCGGCACAGCTAGGCTGAGCATGCCACTATTCACCGGAAGAATGTAGGCCATGGCCAGAAATGTTGTCAAGCCCGCACGGATCTCGGTGGTGTAGCTGGAGCCGAGCTTTTTCACGTTGAAGGGGTCCTTCAAGTTCAGGTGGCTGAAGTTGCCCTTCAGGCCCAAAATCTCCAGCATAGACGCCCTGCGGCCGCCCTGCTTCACCACCGTGCGCTCGCTTGGCTCGCTTTGGGATGCTGCGCCCATCGTGAGAGAATGGGACGGGTTCGGACGGGGGTATGTCTACAAGCACGCGCTGTACCAGAGGCTGAGC